GACAAGTTTCTATAATATGATAATATTATTGTTTATAAAACGCACAAATAATTTTATGGATACATCTCTCAAATGTTGTGAAAGTAAATAATGTAAAAATTTTATGAAAAAGATATGTATATTATACAATACCCAATAAATAACACTGAAGAAAAAACAATTCTATCCACATTCATTTTTTAAATGTTTGTGTGCGTGATTAGTTTCTTTATACTTTATTTTATTTTTAAACTTTATTTTAACATTACATAATACATGTAAATTCGATATTTATCATATTATTCGTTTTTTATTATTTGTTGCAATGTGAGTACGGAAAACAGTGGACGCATTGCTGTATTGGTAAAGTAAATTTTGCAAAAGCGTTTGTAAAACACACAACTTTTGTTCAATCAGCAAGTAAGTTAAAATTAAATATTATGAACAATGTAACATTGCGATGAATTTTGGTTGCAATTATTACAGCTGTTCGAAAACACAAATGCGTCAAAAACAGGTGCAGTTACGCGTCTGCAAGTGATAGTCGAGCGCCGAATTCAAAGCTGTATTCTCGTACATATTTCCTCGCGCTCGCTGCACGAGAATGAAAAGTCTGTTTTCCGACTTTTCTAGTAGCTGATAGTTTGTTTGCTTCGTCCTAGCTTTTTTGTTCACATCCGTGTGCGTAACACACTTTCGCGTAATGAATGTATATTTCCTGAAAACTCTCTAGCAACCCATAAGAATAGCATCAAACAGCGAAAAAATTAAATATTTGCAATAATATTAAAAATCACCATAATAATTCAATCATCGATTATTTATTTTCGATAATTTGTCAATAAATACAAAATATAGGTATAGCTTTCTGTAATTTAAAATAATTTTCTTAATACTTTCCTGTTATTAATTTCTTTAAATGTGTACCACTGCAACTTATATTTCAATTATTATTAATTATTTCTGTCATTTATTTTCTTTCTAATTGTACATATAATGGATTAGTATTAATTGTCGGAAAAGTTCTCTCATCTGTCATATTTTATTCTGCTTGTTGCTATTTTTGTAGCAGCCACTTATAGTCGTATTACGGTAGCTTTCATTTTGACAATTTTTCGATTATACTCTTATAAGATAAATGTCCCAATGACCGGACATGTCTTAATCTCCAATCATTTATTCAACAGAAACAGTTATTAAATATTCATAAATATAAATCTTAAAACGAATATTTTTAATAAATCATTGATATATTATGTGTGTATTGTACTCGTATATATGTATATATCAAAAATTTAGAATCGTCGTATAATATTTAGTTAAATAAAATTTAATTCAATGAGCTGACGTATATCATATGAAATGGTTGATTTATATAATCTTTAATCATTTTACTGTAAAAGAAAATGATTTTTATAGCGTTAAAAAAAGCATTTTTGAACGCTTTTTAAAAGTAATTTTAATATTCGATCACTAATATCAGCTAAATTTAGGGTTGTTCCAATATCGTCTATATATAATACATCTCGGCAAGCCTATACATAAATAAAGATTTAGTATATATTCGAAAGGACGAACAACATTGTTTATTAATTCAATTAAATAAACATAAAATTACTAATTTTATTTTAATTTGTATTTTTTAAATACGTTCCTAATATTAACAAACTGATTATCGCGGTCGAATATTGGGACCAGTTATGTCCGGATTTGGGACATAGACTTTTTAGGCTGTCCGGAAATTGATACATTATACACATGTATGAAAGTATTTGCAAATTCTTTATTAATTACAAATTTATAATCATTGGTTTCTTTTACTTCTTTTATTTAAATGTAATCTTTATTATGCGTATAAAAAATACAAAGAATACACTATTTTAATAAAAAAAATTATGTTTTTAATAAAGATTAGCTCTTGAGTGTCCGTCCACTGGAATATTTATGTTAGTCTTAATAAAAATGTACATATATAGTATTTTAATAAATACACTGAATCACAAAGAATACTAACTTCTATTTGCAGCTGCATACAGAAATGGCATATCTTTCAGTGTTACTAATCTTATTGCTGTTAATACGACGCAACTTTGCATTTTCGTAAAATTATATTACTCACGATTCGACACAGAAAGTTTTTCGTATAACACAATATTTGATTTAATATAATTATTGTATATAATTGAGATTAAAATTGACTTGTTCAAGAAACTATCAAGAGAACCAATGTAACGAAAAGTAATTATCAAATTTATCAAAATTTAAATCAAAATAGTCATTTGAAACTACTAATGGATTGCTAATTAATGAAAGGATAGAAAGTTTGAAACAAAAAATTAGCTTGAGACTTCATATATTTTTTGTTACGAGTAATAAAATGCTTAAAACTTTTATTACCTACTTATGCAATAAAATTGCATTATCGTTGTAAATATTTTTTTTCCTATAAGATATTTTTAATTCTATCTATGAACTGCCATTTGAGTGGAATATTATTAATTTTATTATTGATAAGAGTCTAATATTTTTTATTGTTTCTTATTATATTTTGTTTTACGAATTCAAATATATTTTGCTCTCCGGATTCGATTTCTACATTGGAAATCTGAAAAATACTATTTTTAAAATGTAAATTAATAAATTTGTCAGTTCTTGATCTTCCAATTTAGTCACCATGTCGGAAATCACATAATCTATCTTGCCAGAAGACCGATGTAAATTAGTATTCCTTTCAAGAAAATTTGAAACAGTTGACCCAGTAAGAGATTATTCTCCTGTCACAATATTAGCCCCTGAAACTCCTTGCAGAAACTTTTTTGTCTGCTAGTTCCAAACTACCAAAGATATTCTCTTTTAAGTGCCTTGCTTCGTGTTTAATGAAGGGACGTAGGTGCAAGGGCGGGACGGATCGGGATGGAGTTGAACATTGGGGGACTGACGGAATGAATTGAAGAGGGAAGCGACAGATGATAGTATCAGAATGTAATTGAAACTTTCGCGCTGCTGCTCCGTCATTTTTCTGTCTGACATTTGGCGCGACGACGACGACGACGACGACGACGATGACGACGACGATGTTGGTATCAACGGTAACGCCGACATCTGGATTCATTACTTATAGTCTGGCTCAGTTATTACGAAACTTACGATGTCTCGGGATAGCAATTAAGGCTCCTCTCACTTCCATTCTTTCTCGAAACGACATTGTACTAATTAAGCTGCGAACACCAGAATCTTAAATGAAGCTGGGAACGGTTTTTAAAAGAAAATATAAAAGAAATAAGAGGGCATCGAAAATCTCGATCGCACCGAGAAAAATGGTGCATCATAAAAAATCATTCAATGTTTGTAAAAAAGTAGGACACGTATCACCGCTATATTAACGTAAAACTGAAGGTTAAAGAATCTTATACGGGGAAAAATAATGAATATGCAGAGATAAGTAATTATATATAAGTTTTACGAGAATAATTAATTAGGAGAGAGTACACATGTAGGAATTATTAGCATTCATTTAATTCAATCGAATATATTATATTAACTTTTAAATTAAATTAAATGACAAGAGATTTTGCAATTAGATAATGAATTTTCTTTCGCAAACTTTTCTGCTGAAAAGATTGTAATTGTAGATATGTAAAGTCAAGGTTTTATTTTAACAGAATTTTTCTCTCCATAATATGATCAAACGTTTACTTTGTAAACAGTTCTGTAATATTCAAATTTTATAATGTCTTATACATACCTAGTTGCAATATTTTAGTGACTTTAATTGTGTAACTGCAAATAAAAATTTTGTATCTCTAACGATAAGTATAATATACCTTTTGAAGTTAAGAATGTCGACTGACTATGATAAATATATTAAGTGCATCATACCGCGCACGAACGCTGCGTAATAATGGCATATATTAATGTCACCGTCTAGTTGTGAGGCGATTAATGTACAAATGTGTACTGTGGCAAATAATTATTGCTGCTACATCACGCTATAGTATGATATTGTTGATAAATTCATTCATTACAGCATTGAGATGCGTAACTACTTTCGTCCGGATTTCACAATTACATTGAATCTAACATTGAATACATATGTGAGAAATATTTGATAGTCCTAAGTTTCAATGTATCATTTACATCCTCTTAGTTTGACGCATCATCACGTTTATCTATACGTAATAATTTAGAATTGTCACATAATAATTTATATTTTTATATAGATAATTAATACTAAAATATATATACTTGATAAAAACGTTAATATTTGATGTTTGTATATTTTATATTTATAATTACTTACTAAATTCTCTCTAATTATGTTTTACATAGTCCAGATTTAATAATAAATAATATTTTGTATTTGTGTTTTATAAAGCAGTTTCTTTATTCTCTCAAAAAAATCTTTAACGAATCATTTATTTACTTAATCATATCACATAATTTTTGATCTATTTTACTCATTTTTATGCGCGTGTGTATAATTTGTTAATTCTATTTCAACTTTCGAAAATGTCAGCAGCTAACAAATTATTTGAGCGTATCGTGATTTTCGATTGTTATCGGTATAAAAATGGTCAGATCAATGTCGAAATGGAAATGAACGAAAACGGATATCGATGGAGAAATTAATCGTTCCATGGGGATCTCACGTCATCGCGTTTTACAACAATCTGCAGGATAGATTCGCTCTCACAAAAAAAAAAATAATATCCGCGCGAGAATACGCTATCCTATAGTCGATTTTTCACGCTCGCACATTCGCGATTTAAGGTCATCATATACATGTACCAATTTACAAGCATAAGTGTAGCGTATGAGCCTAGCAACAAATGGTTAGAGCACTTTACATGTTCTATCAAATAATAGAACAACTTATATTTGGTACGCTATTAGTCATGTAGCTTATACGTCATACTGTCAAGGCAATTTGTGCGCGATATCGCGTGTTAAATACACACGTGCTATTTGTCAGCCGGCCGAAACATTGTTGCATCGCTTTAATAATAATTTCGCGGTTACAGTGGCATGCTCGACGGTGACGGTGAAAAAGTGTCAGGCCGCTCTACGCACCCTGCAGGCTTTCACTTTCTTCCGACCGACGTGCCTCTGCAGGGAGCCGCATGTCGATCCGGACTGCAACAGCTTCCAGAACTTCCTGTTCGACCACCCATGCGACTACGTGGAATGGAAAGGTAAGAATCTATACCTGCGATAAAATAAAGTTAATCTTTATTTCCGGCTTGTAGCCGGCTTTCTAACCGGCTTGTAGCCGCAAGGAATCAGAATACATCCAATTTATACACCGTTAAATACCAAAATATCAAACCAAGTCCTTAAATTAAACCTTTTGTTATTTTTAACCAAGTGTGACAAAATGTATTATTTCAATACAAAACTAATAAAAAATCGAACACATCAAATTAATCCAATTCCAGTCGAATTGTTTAGTTTCAAAGTAAACAATATTTTATATTAACGTATGCACTTGGTAACTGATAAACTAAATTTGAGTCAAATACACACCACTTACTTCTTCGAATTAAATTTTCTAACTCCATTAGCTTACAAGTAACCTTACCTTTGTGATATTTGCCAATTTTATTGAAACTCATTACATTTGTAGAGTAATCAATATAATAACAAACACGTATTTTTTTTATATCTGCAACAATAGTGCAGTTTTAAGGATGAAAGCTACTCCTTTTATTTATAAATGATAGGGTGACCTAACGTTCGGTTTTTCATGGAAATGTATTTTTTTAAGGCATCCGGGGATGTTCGGTCGGGTTTTCATATGTTCGTATTCCTTTTAGTATTTTAATACGCATTTTGAGAGAGAGCTAGGGGAGAGAGAGAGAGAGAAGAGAGAGAGTGTGTGTATCGGAAGCTATTAAGCCCATCGCATCGCACATGAAATACATAATAATCTAATCACTAGATCATTACCATATTCCTATGATAGAATACTTAAAAATTATTAAGTATTATTATATTATATGAAGGCGTTTTTTGCTAATACTAAATACCTACATGCTTTTATCATTTTTAGCTTCTACATTTGAATTCACAAATATTCTACTTATTTTGTATTACAATTTAACCTAAAATATCTTCCTTTTTGTTCTACTTTTGAGTATTGATATCCTATTTTTGTACTACTTCTTAATCAGGAATGTCCTAGTTTACTCAGATTAGGTCAATAATAAACGAATAATTAATTCGTTGCATTTAAGCTCATGCGAGACACGCGAAGTTTCATAGTTAAAAAAGGATAAATCTATAGAAATATTTTTTAAATAAAGGACAAAAAACAAAATGGGGAGTTACTTGCCATTTTATCGTTGGTTATTCCTGCATTCGGCAAAGAATAAGATAAGACTATTTAAATTTATTAGGTCGCTATATTGGATCTGCTCTTTCAAAGTATATAATTTTTTCATGCGGGAAACATTAAATTTGTTCCCCGCATGAAAACCTCTCCTCAACTTTCAAAACTGTACCATTGCCGATATAAAACAATACATACTTATTATTTTTTACTATTCTACAAATGTACTGAGTTTTAATAAAATCGATGAACATCATAAAAATAGGGTTATTTGTTAGTTAGTTAAATTAATGACGTATTGCATATATAAGCAATAGTGACTTACATAGGAATGATTAAAATTAAATTGACTCAAATTATGTAATTTGACATTATATATGAATTTAACAGTGCAAATATGATAGAAATTACTTATAGTCAAACATTATAAAACTTGCATGATTTTTAAAATTCAGAATAATAAAATTCAGGATAAATTGATTGTAGGTGCCATTCGAACGTTTTTCTTAAAAGCGAACCGACGAAACAAAAGCTCGGAACGATATCTTCGCACCCACCATTCTACGTAACTTTGCTCCTACGGGCTTCATTGTTGATATTCCCAAGGGCTCACTCATGCGCGCCACCGAGTCTTTTGAGCTTTTCCAAATGATTCATGGATAATTCCCGATGCGCTTCTTTTCATTCGCTTCATTTCCTATCCATTGCTTTTTTGCATCTTCAATCCACTTCTCGTCCCGGAGAGAATCGTTGTCTTCAGGAAAGCACTTTGCAGTTCTAATATCGATGGTTGGGTTACTTTTGAGTTCACTGGGGTGAATCGATAGTCTACTACACTTTATATTTGTCGCGTTATTGGCTTTTTTATTTAGTTAATATAATATTCTTTAAATAAAAATTTATCAATCCATCTTCTAATTTAACTTAATAATATAAGTATTAATGTAAATTCTCTCTAAAATTAAAGATGAAAAGAAGGGGTTTTTTAATTTAATAATTGATCTTATTAAACGTCAATTGCGTTTAAAGAGATTGTAACGTAAAGTTAATTTTATAAATGTCTTTGCCAATTTTCTCTTAATAATCTCTTAATAATCTGAATGAATGTACTAAAGGCAACTTTTAAATAAGATTTGTGTATAATGTAAAGAGTAGAAAAAGAATTTTTACTACAGAATTATTGATAAAAGTATATGAAACATATATATTATATAGCGCGTGCGCGAAAGTACATTCTGCTTCTTAAATATAAGAAGCGTTGTTTTGCAGTGATCACTAGATTCTCGTTTATTCGATCATTAATGTAAATTTTATTACAAAATGTGAATCATACTTGCAGTTATTGACTCAACTAGGGCTGTGTTTCAAATTTATTGCCAGCACTGAAAATGCTACAGTTTACGTTACATGCACCATATGTAGATTTTTAGTATTGGCAGTCAATTTTAGAACACAGCCTAGGATAAAAGAAACAAATGAAAATTAATAAAATTCCATGTATCGCTGTTAAAAAATTGATTTTTAATTTAAAAAAATTGGTAATTGACATAGGTTGTCGAGGTCATGATCCTGAGTAACTTTGTCTTAACAGCTAGGTGACGATCTCTTATAGTTTCTGAGATATTTAAAATGTGTAATTTTAATAAAAAATTGTGATCTTGGAAGACAAACTCCGATGATCTTGATCTCAACATATCTAACAGATTTTAGCCGTCGCTCGTTATTCGTTAAAAAGTTATTAACAATCAAACTTGAAAATTATTTCCTCACTTTGAATGGAAAGTGAGATGATTCTAGACAGAAGATGTATGGGGCGAACTAAGTAGAGAACGACTTTTCACACAAAACGAGGTTCACCCTAACTCCCCCACTACCTAGAGGCACACGACTTTCTACGCGAAACGAGGTCTATCCCACTTACCCCCTTCTATACCCACCTTTACCTATCTCCTTCTTATAAATAATTGACAATTCGGACTTGTATATGTAAAGCACGTTTAGTACGGAATCAGATAGAACACATATCTTATTTTATCTCCAGAGTGTCGCTCAGTATTATCTGCTGTAATTTTTATAATTTTTAGAATATTAATTTTAAAATTGGACAAAGAAATGTTGATATTTTCAAAAATATAATAAAGCAATTGATGTTTTGTCTTTCCAATGTCCATAATTACTGACGATTAAATCAATTACAATAAAAAGTTGACCTTGATTGATCATCGAGTTACATAGATCAGGCTAAATCGTGAACACGCATAAATGTAATTCGACCAAGTAATAAGTTGCGCAATTAAGCCACTCCAGATCGCGGCTTAATTACATTTATCTTGCCGAAAGCCGGTCATACGAAAGCGCGGCGGATAATGGAAACCCCGCCGAGCAGCCGGTGCCAGCTACCAAACCAGGAAGCTTCGGCACTTAATGAGATTAAATTCGCTCTCGTGCCTTAAAAAAAGAAGCGGAAGTAGGAAGCAAGGCCGTAAAAAAATTAGCTCGCAAACTGCGGGCTAAATTGTATGTTGTGTGTAAAGTAATACAAGTCAAGTGGTAGATTTTTAAAATTTTAAAAGCTTAAGACCCGCAATTTTGAAAATTTTTAGAAAGATTAGTACATTTTCACCTAATGCATATGATTATAAAGGTTTGTGAAGATTTCGAGGAGTATAACATTCTCGGAAAAGCAGAGTTTTCTCGATTTCTTTTAGTTTTGCTAACCAACTTATTTCTTTATGTAAAGTTAAAGATTTTGTGATAAGTATTTATGTAGTAGTGTATAGTGATGTGTCAATGGCACGTAAATCGTATGTGTGTAAATTCTATTGAATCGATAAAACGACTTTAGGATCTTCTTAAGCAGAAAGTTGCGAAAGGAATTTAACCCGGATCACCAGGAGTATTTTTACACTCCATTGCGCAAAAGAGTGAATTGATTGAAATATCGTTTTGTACACATATTGTTTAACATACAACTTTTTCTTTTTTAATAAATATTTTTACAAACTTTAATATGCAATTCTGTAAAAAAAATCGCCATGAAAAACGTTATATTAATTAAAATCTCTATTCTTTTAGAAATACTGTCATAATAAGCTATTTAACTTGCTTATTCCGTTTAACATTCGTTTGACTTCTACTTACTATTTTTTTAGAAAATTGTGATTAAATCCATATTTATAATGTTCTTAAATACTAATGAATAAGAAAATAATTAATAATATACATTATGTTGTTACAACAATAACAATTTTACTTAGAGAGTTAAAACATGCCGGGTGATTGCTTACATCTTACATAAAAAATGAGTGACTACTCCCGGGTTAAGGAGAGCGGAAACCGGAAACCTTGAGTGCTACTCTTTAGAAAAGCATAGTTGTTTACGAATTATATATAAAGAACTTTATGCGTGTTGTTGCTAATTTTATTTTTCAGTTTATATTCTTAATAAACTTATATTTTTTATAAATTCATACATAAAATTGTGTGGGTATGTTTTGCCATAAATATAATTTTCTTGTTAAAAATAATGCTTATGTTACGTAAAGCGCATATATTGCGCGTGATATATTATTTTATCCTTGTTTAACATTTGGTGAACAACAAGGATGAAACGATATAGCCACCGATTCAATAATTTTGTTTTATTTGTTTTATTAATGTTTACGAACTCTTTGAAGAAACATTCACTTACTTTCTCCGATGATTATCTTTGCAGACAAAGATCCATATCCGATAGACGCATTGCCGACATGCAATCATGCGCTTAATACTTGTCTACGTGGGAAACCTTGCAATCAGATCTTTAAGGATTTTAAAACCAACTGCAAGACTCAAGAAGGCCAGTGCAAAATGGAGAATCGGTAAGCGAACTGTGTGTGTAATACTTCTATATTTATCTGCTTTTTATTTATTAATACTTCTCGCAGTTCTACATCCTCGTGAAACTGTAATATTGTAGGGATAAAGCAAAACCAGATCCATTTGAATTGAAAAACTAAATTTGCTGTAATAAAATGACACAAATGTTTACTTTGAAATGAAGAGATGTATGATGGAAGATTTAATTGAAAGATTCGATAAATGAGCTCTCTCTCTATAGAAAAATATATTTATATCTTCTTTTATTTATCTTCCGTATATTAAACCACAATATGACAATAACATTACTTTGTGATATTATGTATTTATTTAATATAAAAGTTTACACGATTTTAAATAAATATAAATAGAATATCTGTTATTTTATGCTGCTGTAGCGAAATTATATTAAAAAGTCGTTATTTCACGGGAGAGAATTAAAAAATGGAATGTTATGGTTACAGAACATATTTATTTTATTATGAACATAATCTATGACGGTACCACATGCGGTACTGAAAGCCAGCGTCATAGTGAATAAATAATTGTGTAATTGTATCATTCAGAATTTAAAACCGGAATCCGTTAGTATATGTTCCGACATATAAGAAAATTTCGCTGATTGTGTTGTACAACTAATTTGATAGTGCACGCAAAATTTTCACTTTGATTATCTCGAATGACTGCGAAGCTATCTCTACTAGTAACACTTTACTCCTGCGTTTTCCCGTAGATTTTTGTTTTAAAACTTGCACAAGAGAGGGAAAATTAGTTACACTCGAGTTGAAGTAACTCGTCGCGAAAATTAGTTGCATCACCAGCGATAAATAATCCAAAGTAGTGAAGGGCAGTTCGGTAGAGTACTCGCGAAGACAAACGGTACGCCGATGGGCGCGCGGTTAATTAATTGTTTGCATGTAATTAACTCGTAGGAACAAAGCAGGGGAATTGTCGCGCGGGCCATGCGCATCGACGGTAAATTACATTTCCCACCGTAGTTTTAAAAGTTGCGCGCCTCGCGCCGCGCTCTCTCGTTTTATTTTGCCGCGGAATTCCCGCGGCCACTTTGTCCCGATCCCATTAAACCTCGAGATACGAGCCTCTCTAGTCTAGTATCGTAACTCCGTCGAGTTAACACCGACGCCGGAGTCTGTTAAACTTTTGAGATCGGTCGCGATGTATCCAAGAGCGTATCTAAAGTTGCAATCTACTCAAGCATAGACGACAGTTTATCGGATTGTTATTTTTCTGTATGAAAAAATGTTTTTAATGTTCCTTTTAACGAAGAAATCCAAGAAATATAAAATACTTTCAATATCTATATATTTTTTAAAAATTTGATAATCTTTTGGATCTGAAATTAATATGAAAATTAATATTTTTTTGTAAAAAAAGTTTTAATTAAAATATATATAAATATATATATTATATATATGTATATACATATATGTAATAAGATTAATTCAGAATATATTTAATATATTAAAAGTTAAAATATTTTACAATAAATTAAATTTATATGTATAAAATACAGATACAGATTAAAATCTTATTTTTAGTTCCTTTTTAAAATTTTATTTTTGTTAAATTTAAATTTAAATTTAGAACGGTAGACAGATTTGGATGTGCTGCTTTAAAACTTGCGGCGAGTATTGTGAAGAGTACGAAGGATACAAGCAATATATCACTCAGCTTTCGTCGAACAACAGTCTACTCTCCGTTTCCGTCGTAAAGTCATTAACGGGAACGCACGTACACATTTTTAATTATAGTAGTTTTCCGGTTAGAGAAAGATAGCTTGAAGTTTACGAGCGATTTTTCGCAATGCTTAATAACTTCATACTTTTTCCTATGATCTTCAGTCTTATTTAAGTATAAATATTAAGATACTATAAAATTGTCGAAATCGCACCACATGGAGACTTATAACTCAGAAATTATGAAGACAATTCTTAAAACATTTTTGTTTTATGTTTACATTTTTATCTTTATATTTAATTCCCATCTGTGAAGTAATTGTTATTTTTATCGTAGGGGAGAATGGTCTAAATTGGATCTATTTGCAGTTTTTGCTCTCTGTAAGGCGTAAATAAAGTCCGATCGTAAAATCGAAGGTTCCATTGGAAAGATCACTTAATTCCCTTCATTTTTACTTCAGACCATTTTGACGTATCTCTCACCTGTGTTAAACTATAATGGAAAATGTAAAAAACGCTTTTTCCGGTCCAATTTGGAATCATCAGTTCCAAATAAATTAAAATCTATGTCATTCTTTGATTCCCGTTAATGGTATTCTTCATATGCAGCTACTTTTCTTGATGAAACATCAATATGCTAACTATCATTAAAATAACGTGTGAAAATTAGTCCATTAATCATGTAACCAAGCAACATGGATGTCGCAAACGTTAAAATTACTGGATCGAAAGTATCGTGGAAAAACGTTGGACTATATTAGTCGGAAGTAATCGGCGGGCGCGCTGCACCTGCATGCAAAGCCACATAATTTCCTTCGTGGAAACGAATTAACTGGCTGCTTTGCCATCTTGTTCCCTTCATAATTCTTGAAGAGAACGAAGAGAAGACGTATACATATAGGTCAGCTCAATCAATTTTGTTACATAAAGTGCGTAAAATAATAAAGTAATTTCAATGTAAAGCGATAAATTAACGAAACAACAGAATTTTAGAAAGGTATTAACGGTGGATTTGATAAGCTATATAATTTCTTGAAAATAATCATCTGTAGAATATATAACGAAAGGAAACTCGTTCTTTTAGATTTTCACTGCGTTTTTAACATAGGTGTAACCTAATTCTCGTATTAATATTATAGGTGTGTCAATACAGATAGGTGTATGAAGCAAGCTTAATATATACAAAAAGTTAATCTCTAAAATGAAATAACAGCATTCACAATTTAGTACGAAATTACTTCATAGAAATAATTAACGTTTCATAATAACTGTATTGATAAAAAATAATAATTTTTCTTTAACTTGAAATTGATTCTTTCAAGACTTAAAAAAAAAAAATTGATTCAGCTTATGTTTCCTTTCACAATATTTTAATATTTAATATGCCTGTTAATGGAATTAAATATTATATAAAAAAAATTGCGAAATGAAATTTATTTGAATTTATATAATTTAAAAATAGATTTTTGTTAGCATTTAGATTTAAATTTAAATTTTTCAACGTGAATTACTTAAAAAAATAATCTTTCTGTAATTAGGTTTTCATTATTTATAATTAAAGTAACATACATGTTTCACCACAAGTACGTATATCTACGTGTATCTATATTATAGGTACATATAAATAATGAAAGTCTAACGAGAAGAAAATTATTTTTTGTAAGTAATTATACATTGAAAAAGTTTAATTTAAATTTATTAATGCTGACAAAAGTCTATTTTTAAATTACATGAATTCAAATAAATTTTTCTTTATGATAAATATATGTATAATATATGTAATATAAAATATACAATATTACATACGATATTGTACATATAATATTGTACATATATATTTGCAAGCAATATTAAAACTGCATATCATTATATAATTAAAATCAAGAAGAATTAAATAAGACTGCACTATTTTATTCGTATTTCTTGCCTTAAGCAATATTTGTTTTTTTCTTGTTATGAGATAAAGTTGTGCAAGCGGAACTGGCCGCGGTTTTTACGGCGAACATTAATTAAATTAACGGTATCATTAATTGTGGCTTCTCAGGTTGCTCTAAGATCTTGTATCTCCGTAAATCTGCGAACTGCCCAAAGGACTACTTCACGGCGAACTTCGCGTCTTTATGAAGTGACTAGATGCAAGAAATGCAAATATATCTTTCACGGTTGTGCTCTCGAAAAACACAGTTATGTCTTTATATATATTAAATTATAATATTAAAAGTCATTCTTCAAAGTATACTCTTATATTTTTAATTTAATGCCACAAATGCATATAAAGTATCTCGTGCATTTATATTTAATATAAATATTTACATTAAAAAAATTAGAAATATAGATATATCGAGACACATAGCTATATAGATATATATAGAAAGTGAGATTGTAATAAAAATAATTTCACGGAAAAAAATTAGAAATATGGGACTAATATTCAATAAATATTGAGACGATAGTTTAACTGACGATGCTACAAAATAATATCGCGCTTTTGTGATTCGCGTCACGGACATGGTTCTGCAAATTCCAGAGAAATCCGTAAAGTTCCTAAGATCTCGTCCTCTTACCTCTCTCCGCTGCGATAGTGTTCTCTTTATCCGTAATAACATTGAAATTCAATCCCACGTTGCTCCCGATAAAAGTAAACTTCGCCGATGAAGTTCCCCCGATCATCGGTCTTTATCCCTGTTCCCATTTTCCTTTAATCTGCTATACCGAGATCGAGCAAGATGGTGGATTCGTCGATCGATATCGTTCGTTATCGTTTTTCTCTATTTTTCAGGGGATCGCCGGTTATTCAACTCTAACTAATTGTAAGAGGACATTGATAATTAAACTGGCGAGACCAAATAAACATTATTAGCTTCCTTCACGTAGGAGACAGTATTTAATAATCTGTGTCAAGCATAAATTCTAGCAATACTCAAAGAGAGAGAGAGAGAAAGAAAAAAGAGATTATTATAATATATATTTTTTTGAGATGAAGTATCTGTAGGTAATTTTAATACCACTACAAATAATATCTTAGCTGATAATATCACATCAAAATTTTGAGAAAAATGGTGTCAAAGGTGATATTTTTGACTTTTTGTGATACTTATGCTAACGGATTTGTTCAGCACGCAAAAATACATAGGAAATGACTATTTACATCTGTGTTGCAAAAAAACAGGTCAAATTTTATTCCACAGATCAAATCAAATTAATTTAGTTACTCTCTAAATCTGAATCAGTGGACAATCAATGATATCAGTGCCAAGTATGCCACTGGTAATCAGTGAATTAAATGTGAGATTCCTAACCTGGCTAATCTTTATTATGTGATCTAACTAACCTTGTTTTAGTGGTTAAATTCAATGAATATGGTATTGGAAAATTAACGTGCAAATATATCAGTATTTTAGTCATATATATATATAATGCTCAAATATTCTTTCTTTTTTAGT